TTTTTTTAATCACAATATGAACTAAAATATTTATTCATATGACAAATCACATCTATGCCCATCAAATATCTTATCAGTGGACAAGAAGCCTCTTAGTATACTTATAATTGTGAGCAAGTTGCTTACACTTTTTCTATTTGTTCATCTGTTAAGAAGGAGGATGACAGATGGCAAACATTATAATACATGGTAAATATTATATTTCACCTCATTATTTCAGTGTTTGCTATTATACCCATGTTTGCCACTATTGGAAAAATACCATTACATGTCAACAAGATCTAAAAAGCCTAATAAAACTGAGAGAGAGAAAAAGCACTCCATTTGTAGCAGGCTTAGAACATGAGTACAAATAAGTTTCAATTAATAGAGAAAGAACTTCCAAATGCCAAATTCAGCAATACGGCAGCCTGTGAGGATAAACCCTATTCACAATCACCTGCCATGTGGTACAAAGGCATCCCTGGGCTCTAAGCAGGCACCGCGAGACGAGACAAGATGGAATTCAGCAACAGACTGGTGAGATCCCACCCTGAGCTCCGCCTGTGCTCAATGGCAAAGCAGAATGTTACAGCGATGGCACTATTTTTTTTTTTTTCAGAATAAAACCCTCACATCCTCTCTATCCCTCTGACTTATTGGTCTGTTTGCTGAACAACACATATGACAAAGCCCGGCCTAGCCCCCCACCTCCCGTGGAACATCCTGTTAAATACAGAGATGACTGAGACACCGTTCTGTCGTTCTTACAGCAGTCAACCCCTCACACAAGGATAAGCATTTCCATGAGCTCTAAAACTAGAGCTCAAATGTTATGAAACACCCACACCCCCCACATGCTGCAAACTACTACAAAACGCTGCCCGTTCCTAACTAATACACATAGGGATGTGCCACCCATGTTGGCACAGAGGCCCATTCTAAGAAGCAAGTTATACCTAGAACCCAGGAGAGTAACCCGGGCTCTCCAAGCGTAGTGATGAAGCGTTATCTGCAGGGACAGGTAGTTTAGGCTTTGCAGTGCAGCTGGTCTCTGCTGCAATTATTCAACGCTGTGAAAGCAGCCACGTACAAGAAGTTAATGAATGAGCGTGGCAGTGTTACAGTAAAATCTTATTTACCAACAGTGACATTAGATTTAAATTTAGACTCAGAGTTCCTTATAATAGTATTCTTAGGAGCCCATCCCTAATTTGCAGGCATGAAACGGAGAAACCTTTAGGTGAGTTCACAAGTGAAAGGTAAAACCAGGATCGGATACCACCAACTTGGGATACAAATCTGGGCTTGCAACAGCTGTGTTATACTACCATTGGAATTATCAGCCTACAACAGGCAAGGAATTGTTTTTTCACCGAGAGAGAGCATGGAGTATATTTAATGACTTCCCATAAAATGCAACAAGAAATACAGCACATAAAAAATAATTCCGAATGAAAACTAATCTTGTGCAAGCATGCAGTTGTAAAGCAGGGCCGTGAACCAATACAGACCAGCTCCGTCATGGCCCACCACAAAGCAACCCTGGAAGCCCTCCTAAAAAGGTACTCTTACTCTTAGAATGAAAGGGCAGGGTGTACATTGCACAGCAACCTAACCTCTTACTCAGCTGAATCGGAAAAGACAGCGCCCTGGCTCAAAGATGGTTGCCAATCTAGCTGCTCTGAATGTGCTGGTCCTCTATGGTCCTCAATAATCCAGGGCCAAGCATCAGGCTCCTGAAAGGGCTCACTGTGCCTTTTCTGAATCGCCCCTTCTAGGACACTGATCTATAATTTTTCCCATGTTCATTAGCATTCTGGATGACCCAGATTTTAAAATTTTGGATCTGTCCCAATTTTAAGACATGGATAATACTTTCGTCTCACAGGCTCTACATCTTGGGACCCACTCTGGGAAGCAGTCTGAAAATGTCAGAGGTCAACTTTTAACAAAAATAAAATGGATTCAACCTCCGGGTTAACCTTGCATTTCTATATTTAAATGTTATTTGCAGAGACCTCTCTGAGAGAGAAAATACACTTTAACAATTCAGTGGCAAAAATATTTGAAGAAGATTTTTTTGTGTGTTTGGCCTTGCAAAAAATGCCAAACTCATGTCAACCTCCCCATTCAAAAGAGAGCGTTTCCATAGTTTTCTAATAAACACAAATAGTACAAACGGAGGGTCTTGAACTTGGAGGGCACATAAGCCTTGAGTCATATTTAACTTAAAAAAAAGAGGACAACACGAGTACCGATGACGG